ATTAGCTGTACCCGTAGCCTCTCTGCCTCCATTGACGGAAGTTTTTGAAACACATTCAACGCTAGGGATTATCTCTTCCGCCCTTATCATCCTTTTGCTCACTGCGAAATTCAAGCCCTTCTCTAACAGAGTGCGCTCTTCTTCACTTAACGGTCTATTTGATAAATTTACCACGCTACAATAGCTAGTAGGTGGCTTAGGCTTAGTCGTGGGCTCCCTTGAAATCTGAGTCTTAGAAAGCAATTTTTCGAACTTACGTCATTGTCTCTCTTTGCAATGTTGTCCTTGGATAGCTTTCACTTCTGTCGCTTTGGTTTGGAGCAACTGGAAGTCTGCGGGAGAGAGCACGGTCTAAAGATCTTGGTTGAGCCGACATGCGTGGTGACGGATATCAGATAAACGCCGAGTAGTCAAGTAGATCCTCTGTTTGAGGAATGACTTGGCCGCTGAGAATGCTATTCGGGCAGAAACGAGTGACGAGTCCGGTGGCTTAACCAGTAACGATGTGGGGATTATGTTGTGTTTCAAGCAGCGTTTATTGAATATGCGGTGGTTCTCCCAATTTGCCTCTAGCCTTGCCAATCGAACGTAGTCACTGGACACTTTGCGAACACATGGTCCGTAGTTGTTTTCAATCAATTGGAAAAAGTTTGGAACCGATTGAGAAGTCATCGTTTCAGAAGAGCTTGGTAAACAATCGTTAGTTTTTATTTGGGCAACGTTTCGCTTTTGACACAAAAGCTTCATCAGGCCAAGTGAACAGGTCAACAAATTGGCCAGGTTATAAGACAGACGGGAAACCAATCAGTAAGTCCTCTTCACACTAGATCAGTGTTGAGTGTCAATCAACAGCTCTTGTCGGCTAGCGTGGGTTGATACTAGTTCGTCAGGACCAGAAGTTCGGTAACCCTTGAGGGACAGAATCTTCCGCTTATATAAGAATCCGTCGGGGCCTCTAGTTTCACTGTCCAGGGCTGCGTTTCCGTTCGGAAATCCGGCTGAGCACCTGCAGGTGGCCCGTTAAAGTTTTGTTGAATATGTTCAACCCAGAGACTCGCGTTGTTTCTTTCACGCATAAGCGTGCTAGTCTTATCAGCGATTGTTTCGCTCATCAGAGTCTTCTTTTGGCCTATTGCGCGTATCAGCTGGAACAATTTGGGCAAATTCCCAGGGTTTTTCATCTCCATCGCTTCGGCTTTCTGGGCTCACCAAGCTTCCTTATCGGATGCTCCTTTTCACTTGATATCTGACAGTTCGTTAAGCGGTATTTTACTCTCGACTACGGGGAATAGCTATCCGAGCTTCGAACAGTTTTGGTGTTGCCGGAGATCCGGTGCCTAGGTCTGGTTGACTGGGCCATTCCAAAGGCTGGGTGCCCATCATCTTGCAGGGTTACGGATAGTGCCTTCCATTGAGAGTCAGCATCAGAAGACTTCAAAAGGTGGATTTGGTAGGTTTGCTTCACATGAGGGTTTAACAGCTTCTCAGCGGCCAGGGCGTGCATCTTACGCATCCCTTGAAAGGTCAACGAGAAACAGCAACGAACAAGCGCAGAATTTGATATTGGTATAAACGGCAGCAAAGACATTAGGGCCTTAGGGTCTTAGAGCCGTGCACCACGTAGACATCTATAGTTCCGCATCATTTCCTAAGGCACGTTTCCTATATAATATTGATTTTAAGTTGCTACTTCCATGAAAATGCCTGGTTTCCACTAGACCAATAGGACCTTTTCGACATCTCATGATGAAAATAATTCTTTTGCTTTCCATGATATACGTTTAGATTCTCGTGGAAAAGGGTTCTGTCGGTCATTCAATCAAACTCTTATTGAAGACTTGTTTATCTGGCGTTCCGATTGAGTATTTGACGCGCGGAAAGCAGTTTTGGTCCGCAAAGGAAACTATCATCGAACTAGAGACGGCTGGTTATTTTTCATCCGCGGAACAGGGCAAGCAACAATGCAACTCGGACAGTCGTCGTGATCCGTTATTTCCAGGCAAGGAAAATTGGCCCGGAACATTAGTTAGAATGCTCAGTGAAGGTACGTTGTACGGGCTTGTGTTTGAATTTCAGGGCAACCATCAAGATTGTTAAGTGTCTTCACACGATCACGTATTTAATACTGGCTGAGAGGAAGAAGTGCCTCGAGAAAGAAGCCAACCAGCATGGAGCTGCATGTAGACAGGATATGATAAACTGGTCTTTGAAATGTACTGGGACGACGGTTCGTTTGCCTATGGGATCGATCGATGCTCTTCCGAACTCACGCCTCTTACGTATGTCCAAAATATCCATGTTCCGAGCGTGACAGGTGAGGCTGGTGACAGCCGATTATCTCATCATCTGGTAGCACACTTGTGTTGAATCTATAAGTGGTTACTATAGTGATTGGGGACATTCTTCCTAACTTTCATTTTACTCGTGGGACATCGAAGTAGCTGGGCAGTTAATACACAAATTTACTGACCGGAACGTCTGCGGTTCTGACTAGATTCTGGATGTTAAACTGCTTGTGCAACTGGTCAGTATCCTCCTGCTTCTTTTTGGGTGGCATATCAGCTAGACACCGAAAGGGTATTACAGCTGTGTACTTGTTGTATGCCGAAAGGTCGCCATGGCTGATCGATCTGTCATAAGTTGTCGTTACTTTGTTTGGACCAAAGCAATGCTTCAGACTTATCCGTATCTATCTGTAGAATGAGGCTGCTAAGTTGTTCATTTCGGAATTCAGAGTCACCATGGCGAAAAGTAGACACCCATTGTAGGTCACCAATTTCACTGTGCTCATGTAATCACCATAATTTCATCTTTTTGAGGTCGTTGGTGTTTTCCCTTGGCAAAGAGCATACGCTGTGCAGCTAATATGCGCTAAATTCCAGTACCCGTCCTATTTTCCCTATCGGTTACTGTACTGGTCGCCTTAATGCGAATATAGTTTCGAAACAGTCCAGAAGTTCACCACAGGCGCTCGTTCTTATAGTCCGATTCCAACTCATCGCGTTCACATCTGGGTCTGGCCAACTTGACTGGATTTCAGCCCCCGTAGTCCTAGAGAATTTCGTGTCAGCTGCACACGGAAATGATGGCACGGAGTGACGATTAGATATGCACATGAACCACAGGCATGTAAACTAGATTTAGGAATGAGCAAACTCAGCACCTGTCCTTCACAGATTGCCCAGCAGTCCGCTGGGCTGATACCGACACTTGAGTTTGGTTATGAGCCCAGACCTAAGGTAGACAAATCTCAAACCACTCTCTGCCGAATATTGTGCCTAGACAGCCAGCTCGACACAGCCCCACATGCTGGCGCGTACCTCCCACTGTCATCCAATAAACCAATTCCCTGTGTTAGGCTGACATAAGATGACAGCATTGGTGTGTTTCCTTCACGAGTTTTCAAACTAACCGAGGTATTCCTTGAGAATGAGTGCTTTTTATTTATTGTCTGTGAAGTCTGTGATTCACAACAGGTCCGGTGACGTGTTGGTACAATATTCACTAACTGTTTTGCTTGCGGATACCCACCACAGTGAATTCGCCAGCTTTCTTCCTAACTAAAACCATGAAAATGATTAACGTTTGCTGTCAAAAGTATCAAAGACCTACTCGCCGTAGTTCCGCAGTAACGTTCTCTTGATGCGTAAGAGGATGTTTTAGCGAATTTCGCAAATTCTGCCAATATAAAGTGATGAACTTACAGTTACTTACCACTCACTAAGTCTCTAACGTTCGATGTTTTGCGTGGAGATGCGTTGTTCGCCTGTATGGTATGCGGCATGTGTACCAACAACAACATGGGTAATAGTGATTCCGCTATGGCCCCTTTTCGGTGCATGGTTGCCATGCAACTTGAAGGTGACACGAGGGTTGGGATAGTACCAGGTTGCCCAAGCCCAGACTGGAACAGTCGAATAACCATAGTTGGATTCGAACCGTTGGATTAGTAGTTTCGCATCTTAATTCCTGAGCAGGCATGAAATTTCCGTTTCAAATTTCATGCATGGTATCAAGCATCGAGTGCCGTAAAACTCATCAGCTAGGACAGAAAGCAGAAAGTGAAGAGCTCAAAACTCGCGATTCGCCCTCACAAATTTGTTAGAATTATTTTTAGGTGTTCGATAAAATCATCTTACACCTCACTTCTATTAACACGATCCAGAGGGAACTGATCCATAGCTCTTCAACAAAAACGTGTCCGTTGAATTTTGATCATTGGATACTCGATGATGCTTAACATAACAATCTACGTCTTATGCTATTTTCCGAGAGACATAATCTGTGCATTTTATTTAGTTATTTATCCATGCCCCACCTCCCCAGATTTCAGCTCCCGGTTGGCTCTTTCTGCATAAAGAGTGATTGAGTTGATCAAGTGCGGAAATGACACTGATGAAGCATACACTTGTGCAGAATTAGTAACTGTGGGTCAAGGACAGCCACTCCCTTGACCATTGGAACAACCCCGGTCGGGTTTTGCTATCTCTCAACACGTAATATGAGGTTAGGAGTATTGTGCGTACTAAAATCCGGCTTCAAACGTTAGGTACTTCATTACTATGGGAAAGCCATTTCGCTTCCTTATCATAGGTAACAATACACCAATGGTGGAAACTGGTGTTCGACTGTCGTGCAGCCACAGGGGAGGGTCCTCGTAAAGGGTAAGAGGGGAGGAGAAAAGCGACGACTTACTTCAAAAAGCCCTATGTGTCGTGAAAAAACGGTCTGAAGCAAGTTCCGTACATCAACCAAAACCATTAAGAACTTATCTGAGCCCCTTGTTGGAGTAATACATCAGTAGCAAAATAGACGCAGTATTCTTTGCGAAATTCGCCAATACATCGGTAGACAAGCGTCAGCTGAACAGCCTGGCTACTGAGAACTGTTACGTCGCACGTGTTGTCGGGTTTTCATCCACATTCAGGAAGGCACGAGAATCCCATAGCGCTCATCTTGACAGTGGACGCTTTCATTTCACGCTGTCAGGCCTGTCCCCAGCGAGCCTTTTGCCATATGAGCCTGGAGTAGGAAACGCGGTTTTCTTTGGTAGGCTATGATCAATGATCACGTGGCAGTTTTTATCTGGTGCTCAGCTGAGTCTGATGCATTATCTGGGTCCTTTCATTACGTTTCTGTTCCAGCCGGTTACCGCCTTCCATACTACGGAGAGGTGGGCACCTATTTGAAGAAGTTTGGGTCACAGCCATGGAGTAGGGAGGCCTTTAAGCAGTTTTTAGACATGTCCTTTTAATTTCACTGATATTCAGTCAGTTGGAAAACGCTTGGAACCGAACGATAAATCATCGTTTCAAAAGTTTGAGAAACAATCGGTAGTTTTATTGCTGAACTTTACGTTTCACTTTCGATACAAAACTCTGTCAGGCCAGGTGACTAGCTTACAAGACTGGTCGATTTTCCAGTGAAATTTGTGTCTGACACCAGTTGGTTAATATGAGCCGTGCCCTGATATTGCAAGGAAGCTGCGGCCTACGCAGCTCAGTCAGACATTCTGGAAATGACAACATGAAATCAAATAGCTACAGACATTGACTAGCCGCCATTTCTTGATATATCCAGTCGAGTACAAGAGGGCTCACAGGAGCCCCATCCCGTAAGGCAACTGCACCCAACAACACCAAGACCATTTGTAATTTCCTTTACACTCTTCTGCTAAGTCAGATCTCGGGGTATAGTATCTTGCTACCCAAACCTGGACAAAAGCGACAAAATGTGTGGGCTTTGATGTCGAATACCGGAACCTTAGCTCAGGAGCTTGCGGCACGAAGCATCCAAGCGTAATGGTGGACGTTGATCCGTCTAGTACACCTTTGCATACCCCGTAACCTCCAAGATCCAAATTTGGCAATTATTATCTGGTCACTGGGTTGTAAGTGAAAGGCAAACAGAACAAAAGCAAGTTCCAGTATTTGATCAGACCCATCTGCTTGCGCACATACTTTCGAAGGTGTCTTATTTTGAGGCTGTTCGACAGACATAAAGCACACTAGTGTTTTGTACATAGGGAACATGCGTTAACACTAGATTTCTAAAACCACGGTGTCCTAGTCTTCTTGGAATGAGAGGGGAGGATTCCCTCAGTCTTCAGTATCGTCGAATTCTGCATCAGTCGTCTTAACACGCTCCTTAACGTTAGAGGCGTCTAGCTGGTACAAGTGAACTTCCCAGTCCTTGGTTATTCCATCCTGATTCCTCCCTCACCTCAAGCAGTTAAATGTGTTATTGGTATATGACTTTCTCCGGATGTTTACTGGACCAGCCTAAGCTCCTTAAATGTTGAAACCAATTAATTCGTGACTAACTAGGTCATTCGATGAATCCAATTTTGTTCTTATCTTTGTGGTCCTGTTGGGGATCCGAAAGTACCAAACGATTGGCTAAACTTTAACTGTTTGTTTGCTTCTAAAGCGTTCTGTTATTTCGGTATATTGGCCCGTGAATTGTTCTACTTACTCGCTCCCTCAGATGATCCATTGGGTCGTTCAGTTAAAGCAGATTACGACCTCGCGATGAGTTGCCTGGGTGCGATCATCTACTATCTCCGCTACTGTCTCATCGATCGACAAGTTATGTCCTTGGGTCTGATTGATCTGTACATACCCCCGGATTGTCTTCAAATCGCCACCACAACCGGCTCCGGTCAAGTCTTCTATTCAAAACAAACGTCGCTGGTATGCTTCTGTTTGTTCGCTTTTTTGTTTGGTTCAGTCAGCCGATGTCTGCTGGCACGTGCATTTCTTCTGGTTACGTCCTAGCTTCGATTCGAGCTTTGAAGCTTCAGACTTTATTGTTCAATCTCACCTTCCTAACTTCTGCTTGGTAGCGTGGTAGCGCTTCATCTCACATACCTTCGGGTTGGATCTTAGCTGATACAACCGTTTTTTCGGGAATATTAAACGAACCGATTATACTCGTGAACCTATATGTAGACTGAAGTTGATGGATTTTTGTAGCCTGATAAAATAATGAGCATATGATATCTGTTACGTTCCCACAACCGTTATTTTTCAGGCAATCCAGTTTGGATTCTGCCTGTCCTCGCGGACGCTGGTGTCGTCTAGTCCGAAAGTCCTGTGCACCTGTCGGCCACCGTAGAAAACGAGTTGTCATGCAGGCACTTCTACCACTTTTTTCATGATAATTGATTTGATGGTATCCATCGCCAACCTGTTGTGACGTCTCATACTCATGACTGGGATGTGTTTTATGAACATCCAGTTAGTCAGACCAAAGGAAATCCAGTCGCCCCCTTTCTACGGGTCATTTTTAATAAATTTCTGGAGGCGTATTGCAGTGATCGACTCACTCCAAGAAGATTCCATTTCTGGTCGGTCCCTCGTGGTGGTTTCTGCAGAGGAGAATAGCTATAGTGGTTTTCAATCAATTGTAAAAGGTTTGGAGTTGGTAATCAGAGCTATATTTGAATCATATATCTGTGGAGATCTTTCTGTACCCGAATGTCGTGAAAACTGAAGGAAGCACAAAAGCAAACATATTGCCAGGTTTTTCAAGCCTGTGCAAGGACGAGTCATGGGGTGCATTCGAATCACTGAGTAGTAGCTCATGCCTCAACCCCTGAGTCGTGCCAAGCAACTGTGTTACCTAGAAGAATCGGGATTGCTATTAGAATGTGCTCTTATGAATTACTGAGCCACAGGTTAATAACTAGGCGTCCCTGTAATCACTAAAGCTATAGCCTTTTTGTCCCCGCTCATAGAGGATGGTCAAACACTGCCTAGCCTGCCCGTCCAAGAAGCCATGAAAATGCCATCGTACTGAATGAAACAATTTTTTTTACACATCGATTTTGTTCTAAATGGTAAAATACTTGTGCACACATGGATCGCATGATGTCCGGTTTCGCTGCACAATCATTTCGCCTTCCAGGTTCTGGATAGCATCACTCTGGCTAATTTGGATATCTTGCACAACAGTGTGACAGGGACACGTGAAGGGACGCTCCTGGAACGTTTGGATACATGTTGCACACCTTTCGGTTAGTCTCCCAATTGTTCTGGTTGTTTTAATTCACCATTGGGAAAGATAGAAGGCTGGTGATAAAATTTTGTCCTGATGCAAATGTTAGCAATCTTACTGGGTGATCCCCGAATGGACACCAGTGCATCAGAATGTGTTTTGTATAGGTCGAAATAGGTGATCACAGGGTCTTAATGTTCGAATCACAATTCGCGTATAAAATTTCCCATACTGTTACCAGTCTTGTAACATTTATGGAATGGAATTTTCTTGTGAGTCATTCTATTGTCTGATGATAATTACTCCACAAGAGAAACATCGGAATTTACCGGTTCGAACCTGTGGACTATTCACAAAATACTCGTGTTTGTCCTAAATGCAAGCAAGAGTGTCAACATGCACTAATAGACAAATCCAAAAGACGGCAATGTTCCAAATTTATTTGAAATATAACAGTTTTTGGGTAAATTTGGGAAAAAGACTAGTCATCAACAATGCAGTCAGTTGGCGTGGAACTGCACCTGCTGTTTATGTGCGGAAATCTGTGTGTTAGTCAAAACACGCTTTTTGCTGGTCGGATTTAGGCCCACAGTCTATGAGTACTACCTTTTTACTCTTACCTGTTCCACATTACTTTCGAAAGAAAGTTGAATAGAATTTTCCACAAGAACTACAGACACAATGCAAACCGATGACATTCACTTTGGTATCACAGGTTCTGAAGTTGTGTATCTCATTGCTGTCAAATTATTGTCGGTCTTTATGCTATCGAGCCAATCACAGCTCCAGTTTTTTGGAATAGCTGTTCGCCAAACTGACAATCCAGGGTGAAAAGAGGAATTTTTCGTTCATCACTGCCTGTGTGGAGCCTAACAGCGCCTCCGTCCCACCGAAAGGTTGCATTCAGGCTACGTAACATTATTTGTGGCAATCGACTTGGAAGGGTTTGGAACCGATTGAAGAGTCATCGTTTCAGAAGAGCTTGGTAAACAATCGGTAGTTTCTAATTGGACAACATTTTGCTTTTGACACAAAAGCTTTATCAGGCACTTGAACCAAGTCTAATCCGATATAGTTGACAGTTGAAATCAATTTTTACAACCAGCATATCTGTTTTCCTTTCCAACGCCACGAGATGTCGCTTTAAAAAATATCGTGTAAGGCGGACTATCTTTCGGCGATTTCCTGCAGATCTTGAAATGGCAGGCCCAATCTGAAGGCTAGCGAGATAATTAGCGGACGAGAATGCGAGAATCCAGCCACTCGTTTTCAGAGGCCAAGAGACCGAACTTTGTTGGTAGTGTGAGGAGATTTGGGATTTTCGTGGAGATTTCGTCCTGTAAGTGAAGCCAGTCTATGCTGAAAAGCCGAAAGCACTGTACAGCTGTTTCATCCTTATTGGGAATCATCATCAGCAGTGCGAATCGCACGAAACTCCGGAGAGTTTCGAACCCGCGACCTTCTGGCTAGTAGTTTGAACACTTAACCGTTCGGCCACCGGCGGCCGAACTTTCGAACTCCCCAAGCGATTTACTTGGCCGTTTGACATCACTCGTATCATGGTGGGTGTGACACCTACCCGTGGCGTGGTGTTTGACCTTTGAACTTTTCTGTAATTACCCGCTGTCGGAAGCACTTATTGCTGTTCATTCCAGCACCATGTGATCGCACTTGAACAAGAGAGAACCGGTGATGATTCACCCACTTTTCTTCGCTTCTGATCAGTCCGTTCACACTGTGCGGCTTGAGCTTCCGAACCTCAAAATTTGGAATTGGAGCAGCTTGGCGTTTGAGCTGAACACGTAATCCTCAAAAGTTCGTTAAAGAGGTCTATGTCTATGTGTCTATATCAATCGGTCCCTCGCAATGCTCCCGCATGACACCTTTTTGAGCCACAATTATTTTGACGTTAAATAAGTTTGCCAAAGATCTATTGTCTGACGAGGTAGTGGACTCGAAACGGTCCTGTGAATTTTATCCCACTGAAATTCACCATTAAATCACGCCTATCCTGGTCGTTGGCTTGTTCGCTGAGCTTGGCCATTTGATTGCAAACATTTCATCACCACTTGAGGTGACATTATCAGTGACAACCACTAACAAATCACTGCGCACCCTAACAATGAACTGATGATGTCACCTCGATTGGTGCTGAAGCGTTTGTAATCAAATTGTCCAGCTCAGCGAACAACCCAACGACCATCTACGCTACCTGAGCTACCAACATTTTCCTCTACATGCCCATTGTCATCGGTAGTGCACATCTCACGAATATCTGAGGGAATTCTGACGGGCAGCTGGACGGTACATATCAACTACCGGTGGCAGATTAACAGTGCGATTGGCAGTATATAGCGCTGAGAATCTCCGATCACGTAAGCCACGTCACATGATCTGGACTGCTTTCTGCGGTGACGGCCTCTCAGATAGATGGTCTAGGTGACTTGCGTAAGAGCAACGCGCACTGGCTGAGTCTCCAATTTAACACGGAATTAATTTTCGACAGCATTGACTGTTATCTGAACGCAGTTAAGCGAAAATGATTCGTAAAATTAAAAGCACGCCAAGCAACGTGATCCCATGGTTCATAGAGCTGCTAACGTAATTTTCTCGGGGACCAAAACCCATCTACAACATCTCGACAGATTATAATGACTTTCCTTGTCGCTCAAATGCATACTTTAGATGGTCATTACCCGTTCTTTTTAACCGGTTTTATGGCTTGATGTAGTTGAAAATGTTTCGGTCTTTTCCGAACAGAATGGAGATTTTAAAATGTGGATTCGATGAACAAAAAGCGGGCACTTCGGATAGACAGGAGCGTTTGTGTGAACAATATTAGCTTCATCTTGTTAGTAAGTGATTGGCCATACACCAGTCTTATTTCGGGTTGTCCCAGGAGACATGTTTTATGGAGTGGCTGTACTTGGTTTTAGATTATCATTCCATATGAAACTAAAGGGTGCCCCAAATGACCATCTCTTCCAGTCGGGTAAGAATTAAATGGCTGTTCCCCTGGTAAACAAATTTGGAACTGTAACGTTTGACATTAACTATGATTCACCGTTCATTATCACCATAATAAGACTTTCAAAGTTCCGAAACTTCCGCCCGCACTCGATGGAATAACTGGAAAGTAACTGGGGTAGTCAGTTTGAATACCAAAAGTTAGTTTATTTGCCGAGATATTTGCTGTACGGAATATTCGCAGACTTAGCTGCCACCAGTGTATGAATTCAGTTGAGTGGCCCCTAAAACCTGTAGCCACGACGTTTTGGCCCAACTTACTCCCATAACGCGGAGTGCCCCAATAACTAAACTGCATTTCTGGATGCACCAACAAATAACGGTGCCTAACTCACAATCTGTGTAGAACAAATATGCTGTCTCTCACGCTCGAAATGTGACGTGTGTGTTATCCACTTTCCAAACAGACAACCTCACTTGTCTTGTTTTCCTAATGACGAAGGAAACGTTACGCTACGCCAGTCACATAAAACGATACCGTTAGGGCTGTATCAGGTGTTCAATTTCAAATCGATCTATAGATAAAGTGAAATTGTGAAAACAGCCACAATTATTATCCATGTACGCATACACGTGCAATATGCTATCAGTGCACATGACTTTGGTTTCCAGATCACTGGGCAGAAAAGCTAATGCTTTTATGGGTGAGCAGCCAAATTTAGTCTATCTCAGTGACTAACGCTGATAGTCTCGTTTTTGGTCAATGCTGGGGAACTGAAATTCGAAAATTTTTCTCGAACCTGAAAGAAACCGTAAAAACGGTTGGAGATAGTAGCCGCAGCAGAGGAGTAAACTATGGTGATCGTCTGAAACACACGGATTGCAGGTTCGGATTCGAGATGTTTCCCATATGCCTCTGATCTTTCTCAAACGAACTATGCCTCAATTCGTTTAGCGACAACACATCTTGAATCTGCCAACTTAGTTCCTTGCAATGGGTACATCATTGTCAAGGCTACAGTGACAGAATTACAAATGTTGAGGTGAGAGGATGGACCACAATGATTCCAAGTGGACACTGAATGGGTGCTTGTATTCATTTTCGGTTAAGACAGTTGTATTCAGATATCAAGGTCTTTCATTTCCTCCTGACTTACAGATCAAAACAAACAACTACGTGATATTACGACAAATATATCATCAATTTAGTTCCCACGAGAGAATCGCCTGAGTCCAGGCAGACT